CCTGAGCTTTCTTGACGAATGTGTGGATCGTTGATGCCAAATTTGCTGAGATGTATGCATCCGAAGGAGGAGTTCAGTGTTTTTGCAAGTTCTTGTAGACCCCTAGCTTCCTCTTGAGCTGCTTCAGCTCCACCGACGTCTTCCCTGAGGAACATGTAGTCGTTGTGAGCTGGTATCGGGAGAGGACGTTGACTCCATGGAAAGGTCGTCTTCTTCCCACACTCCTTTATTTTGTCCCCAAGTTTTCCGGTACTGGTACGATCTCCACAAGTTTCTGCTTCTTCTGGGGTCCCTCCCGAAATTTGTCCAAGGCTCTAGCCGTTCGAGAATAATAAGTTTTCATTAAAGCATCCTCATATGATAACTAAAACGAATACTTATATTTTCTTGGGTCTTCTCGGAGTTTCCCTGTCTCGGATTTTCTGTAGGCAGCCAGTCAGCAGGACGGACAGCATGGTTCCCTTATGAGAATTTAGCGCTAACTCGTTGGTTGGCGCTAACTTCTCACCCTCCCACTAACGACAAGCTACAGTACAAATGACGACAAGGTACAGTGGAACGAGAAATTTGCGGTGGACATGTGTGTTCCCCCCAACGTCGCAGTCGAGAGGGATGAACCCTTCAGCATGGCTCTGCGGTTGTCTGGTCTAGAAATACGCATGGCTACAACAGTTTCACTAAAGGTCAACTTCAACATCGTGTCGAGGTCTGACCCGAGGTTGACGGAAATGATATGTACATATTACTTTTTTTTTGCTGACGTGTGATGGTGTTACAGGCGAAGCTCGTCAGAGTCGCACAAGATTTTAGGGTGCCGGGGATTCAATCGCTCAATTATTTCGCATTCCCTCGCCACGGGCAAATGAGGCTTTCGCACGAGCACAGGGCGAATGATGTGGGTATTTGTGGGGGGGGGGCTTGTGTGGCAATGTTTGATGCCAGTGTGCGACTCTTGTGAAGCGATCAGGCGACGACGGTGCACAGTTCCATGGCGACGAAACCTAGTCGGCAACGACTTGTCCCTTGCTATATGCTGGTAGCAGACGCAATCATGAGTGACTCAAACAGATTTCCCATTGCCCGTGTATTGGGGGTTTCGGGAAACGATTCTGATTGGGCGTCAGGTTGAGCTGCGATAAGGTTGGGCATCGTTTGTAGTCGTCATTTGTATGACCCGAACTGAGCTGACACGACGCAAGAATAAGCCCTAAGGGTCCACATTTGGACAAAAACAGCAATTGTCCCCATCGACATTGCTTGGTGTGGTGGTTGTTGCTTGTCTCGTCACCTAGCTTGGCGCTGTTGTCTCGTGTCCTTTCCAGTGGCCCAGTTTTTGATGGTGTCTCAAGCCAATCAGATTTGTTGAGCGGGGACGGTCATGCCCGCTAGAGGGAAAAGGCCTGCACCCGAGCCGCGCTGACAACGCTTGATCGACATAGAATCTTCGGTTGGACAAACGACTCCGCACAAGAAACGATGTCTACCCGGGGGCAAAAAAAAAATCCCCTTGGTGCCCCCACATCAGACGAGGGAGGCATCAACCCTAAACTCGCGGATGCCTGCGCGAGTTTAGGGCCGATGCCACCCCGAGTCGCATGCCGGGGCCCCTAAGGGTTTATTGTTTTTCTTGCCCGGGGCAGCGCGACGGGGTGTGACGGCCGTCGGTCGGAGCCCGTTAAAGGCTTGTCTGTCGAGAGTTACTGATCGGGATAGCATCGTCGGTTGAGCTGGTGGTTTGTGTTGTGAAGACGGGTTGACTTGAGTTTGGGAGGCCCCGAAGACCCTGACCCCGAGCCCGATTGATGAACCTCGAGTGGATATTTGAACCCTCTGATCTCCCCTAACAAGGTCAGGACATGGAACATTTGCGTGTCTTGGCTGGTTCCCTCGAAAGTAACCAGTCAGGGAACCGCGATACTGGTTCTGCCCTCTGATAGTCACCAATCAAATTGTTCGACGAACACGGGGAAGATACGGAAGCCCTTCGAGGGCCTCCGTGGAATGTTCGTCGCGAAAAGTTGCTTTGGACTCCAAGCTCGCGAAAATGATGAGGGTGACCTCACTGGAGGGATTAGGGCGTGTCTCCAAAGATCGTTTACCCGTTTTTAACACGCAGATCCGTTTGACGGTACGCAATGTGAATCGATTTTGAAACAGATATCGATTTGGGAACAGGTCCGAAATAAAGGTAAGTTCGAAAGGACAGCATCGAGACCAGCACAGACAAAGGAGCGGGTAACGGGGTCCCGCCATGCGAAACCCACGCGACGCGTGTAACAATATGAGGGCCAATCGGCGCAGCGGGTGTAGGTTATTCGATAGCAACGTGCGAGGCTGCTAAGTGTCGCTAGAGAATTTCGCTAGAGGTGGTGCCGGTAATGGTTGGCAAACCGGGTGATCTATTTTTGTCGTGCGAAGCTACCTGGAAACGCGCGCTGGTGTCCGCTAATTTTGGGTGTGAAATGGGGGTGTCTTGTTCGGGCATGATATATGGTTACACATATAAGAGAGGTAACTGAACTCTGTGTTGAAGAAAGAAATACTTTAGTGACAGAAACGCGAGGCTGGTTCACCGAACCGTGATGCCGGTTCGGCTGGTGCTGTGCTGAAGTTGTCTGCTTGTTCAAAGTAGCCCAACGTCAGATCAATCCCGACGCCAGAATCTCCAGAATTTGCCGACCTCGGGAATTGATGCCGGCACTTTGAGCACGTTGTCACTGTCGAATTAATTTGGGTCAGGTGTAAAAATTATTCGCCCGCTAAACACATGCCTTGTTTTCGAGAATGACGAAACATGTGAATGTTTTCATGTGCTCGATTTCGCGGATTTTGCCGAATGTTTTCTGGGCGCCGTGCCACGGCCCTACCCGAATTGTTTCCGCCGACGTCAAGCACTCAGAGCGCGTTTTGGAGCAAAAACCAAATCGCGTAACAAAGCAAACGGCTGGGAACATTGAAGAGAAACATATTTGGAATACGCTCTAACTCAGAAGTGGGTTCGGAAAATATGGAAACTCAATGAGGAAGATCCGTGCTTTGAAAGAAATCGAAGAGGCATTAAAACGGTCGACCCTCTTTGCGCGCGATGAATGGCATGCCCCCGTTACCCAAAACAAACGACCCCTCCAACTTTGTACCCATTTTGGGTTTGATTAGAATAAATGTGGAAATGAAATTCTGGTATGTACAAACATTTGCCTCTGCCCAGTACAATTTACGGGAGTGCACGCATTTAATGCTTCGCAACAAAAGTACTGCCCGTGGCTGCTGGCCCACGTCTTACACCTGGTGTCCACAAATGCTCTGCTCGAGACAGTCCCAACTGAATCCGTCCAAAACAATGTCTTCGTCCAAATACATCTAGTGTGATTTGTAAACAGTATGTTCCAATGTCCGGTTTCAGGTGTATAGACAAAGCTCGTCAGAGTCGCACAAGATTTTAGGGTGCCAAGGATGCAATCACATGCCCTCGTCACGGGCAAAAGAGGCTTTAGCACGAGCACACGACAAAAAGGGTGAGTATTTGTGGGGGGGGGGGGGGGGGGAGGGGGAGTAGGTGGGGGGGGCTTAGGTGGCGATGTTTGTTGTCAGCATGCGTCTCTTGTGAGACGATCAGACGATTGCAGTGCATGGTTTCATGACAGCGAAACCAAGTCGGCTATGACTTGTCCCATGCTTAATGTTCATCATAAACTCAATCTTGACATGTCGCAGAGTGACTCAAACGGATCTCGCATTGCCTGTATATCGGGAGTTTTGGGACGCGATTCTGATTAGGCACTGGGTTGAGCTGCGATAAGGCTGGGCATCGTTTGTACACCTTTGTTGCAGACCGGAGGCAGTACTATTGTCACGATGCATTAAATGCATGCACGCAAGTAAATTGTACTGGACGGAGGCAAATGTTTGTTCAATAGACAGGAATTTCATTTCCTCGTTTCGTCAAATCAAAACCAACATGGGTACAGGAGGAGGGGGTCGACCGTTTTGGGTGACGTGGGCACACCATACATCGCGCGGAAAAAGGGTCGACCGTTTTGAGGCGTCCTCAATTGTCGTCAAAGCGCGCGATCTCCTCAAACTGAATCAGGACCTACGCGGGGGGCGGATGGGTACGACAAAGATAAAGCATGATTGGTTTTGTTGCTTGCCTTGCACCAACGATTTCGTCCTCCTTGCTTCTCGGACTCTCCTCCACTGTCCGACGCTGAGCTTGTTGGTCCAACCTGCCTCCGTTCGGTCAGGGATTGGCCCATTTTCGAGAGCCGTGGAAGAACAGTGTTCTGCACTGTATGTTCGAAGGTGGGGGGTGGTAGCTGTACTGTATAGGTACGTAAATAAAAGCATTTGTTTCACCCCCATTCAACTAACTCAAATCCCTCGCCTCTTCCCATGCCCCCAACACCCCAACCCACCCTCTGCCCGTCATTTCATTCCCCCCCACCCCCCCTCTGTGAGGCGCCGCGGGACCAGCGAAGCAAACGGATTTGCTGCAATCATGCCCAAGGGGGAGGTGGGTGGGATTTTTTAGCGGCTAGGGGGAAGAACAAACCAATCCAGCAAAACCCAACCCAAACTTGTCATACCCAACCTAACTCCCCCTTCGCGCGGTGCGCGAAGTGCCAAGCCAACCCACCCGCCTTCACGCCCCCCCGCCCCCGCGCTCCCCCCAGTGAGAGAAGTCGACGAACCCTTTGCGCGCAGGGGTTTGTTCGATTGCATCCAATGGCAGCAGCAGCAGCAACGGCAGGGGCAGCAGTAACAGCAGGGGGCAGCCAGCAGCACCAGGCAGTGTATCCCTCCCGCCCTTCCCCCACCCATTCGCAGCGAGGAGAGGAAGGAAGGTGAATGGCTTGCTTGTGCCGCGTTCCGCTGCCAACCGGTGAGTGTCGAGCAGACGAAAGTTGTCGCCTCTCTCGAACCGAAACCGCAACAGTGACATGGCGGTGTGACGACAGGCGAGAGACGAGACGAGGCGACAATGGTGAAAGCCCACGAGCTTTCCCAGCAGAGCTCCAGTTTAGACCGGGAATGGCCACTAAGGAGCGCCAGATTACGTCCGCTTTTCTTCTCCTTCGATTACAGAAGCAAGCTGCGAAGACGAGATGATGAGACTCGTCTACCGAAGCGTTTCCGTAGCGTTTGCTGCACCAAGTCCGTCCCTTGTGTATTCGTTGTGTTGGTTGCGGCCCACGCGTCCTAATAGTCGTCGCCTTATTCTTAGTGTTGCGTAGCCGCCGCTAAAAGAATAAAAATAATAAAAAAATCCGCCCCGCACATCCTTATCTTGCCCCCATCGTCTGCGTCTCGTGCCATTTTCCGTCTGCACCAATGATTGACTCTCATATCACTGCTTGCAAAAGCAGTTACCTCCGTAGTTACCTCCGTAATTACCTCTGTAGTCGTCTCTCTAGCTGCCTCTGCAGTAACCACTCCGTTGCTCTTACGCCATTCCGCTCGCCCCATTCCAAGTTACACCGCCCTCGTTTCTACTCCCAATCGCACGCACTTCCTTAGAGCGAAATGACATCTCCGTTATCATGTAGCCGCGTACAAGCCATAGTAATGGCAGCTACAACCGAGCCTATAATTGAACCAGACGCTTGGAACCTTTCTCGCCAAGACACTCTCTCCCCGCCGCCTCCCCCCAAGTGGGTAACGCTGCAGCAGCAGATGGGTGGCCACAAGCCCAAGCTCTCGGCGCGCAGCCGTCGCGCAATCGGCGGCGGGAAAAGCGGCGAAGGGGGGGGTAATGACGCCGGTAGCCCTAGTAGTAGCAGCGGCGACAGCGGTGCGGATAGTAGCGGTAGCGGCGGCGGCGGCAGCAGCCAAACCAGCGATCCCGCGGCGAACGTTCCGGAGGAGTTTCTGTGCCCTCTGTCGCTTGAGATTATGCGCGACCCCGTTATTATCGCCTCCGGGCAGACCTACGATCGTGCTTATATCGAGCGGTGGTTTGCGGAGGGCCGTTCCTCCTGCCCTAAAACGAGACAGTGCATCGAGCACACTAATTTCTGCCCTAATTTCGCTCTTAGGAGCATGATTGCTGATTGGTGTGCGGCAAATGACGTCAGCCTTCCGCCAATCACGCCGATTCCCGCGTCAAAGCCTCCCTCGGGCTTTGCCGAGAGCCCCGCCGCCAAACACGCCGGCGCTGCTGCGGTGCCGAGAAAGGTAGATACTCGCGCCGCGGCCACGACGAAGCAGCAGCAGCAACAGCAGCAGCAGCATAAACTGAAGGAGCAGCAGCGTCATAGAGACGCATCCGAAGAACGGGGGGAAGCGGAGGGCAAAGCGGAGCGGCGCAACAGGGCGCGCAGCCAAGACAGGTTCGGGTCCTTGCGCGGGGCAAGGCAGGCGCAAGCGGAGATGCAAGAGGAGGGGCAAGGGGAGGCGGAAAGGGAGAGCGGACGGCGGAGCGGGAAAACGTCCAGGGGGGAATTTGCGGAAGAAGGAAGCACGGCGAGGCAGGGGAAGAAGAAAACAGGCGCGGGGAAGAAAAAGAGCGCCAGCGGGGAGGATCTGGCGCGCCGGGAAATGGATGGGGGCGGCGTGTCCGGAGACCGCGCGGAGCTAGGTTCGGCGGAACGAAACTCCGCGGAGGGAGAAGGGGGAGCGGGTTGTCAGGAAGCGGAGGGGAGAGGCGCGGTGGGGGAGAAGCGCGATGGGCACGCGCGCGCCCGTGAGCGCGGGGAGGATGCGAGGCAGGAAAAGGCGGGGGAGGAGGAGAAGCGGAGAGTTAAAGGGGGAGAGGTTGCGAGTAGGAGCGGGAAAGAGAGGCGGAGAACGGCAAGCGGGGAAGGGGTGAGTCGCGAAGGGGGCATCGCGGGGGGGAGGGGCGACGGGGGCGGGGAGGCAAAGGGCAGTCTAAGGGCTTCTCGCGGGTCGTTAAGCTCGTTCGGAAGGAGCAAAGCAGATGCCGACAGCGCGCAGCAGCAGCAGCAGCAGCAGCAGCAGCAGCAGCAGCAGCAGCAGCAGCAGGAGGAGGAGGAGGTGGAGGAGAACGAGGAGGAGCAGCAGCAGCAGCAGTGGTCTCAAGCGGCGCATTCGCCGGATATGGCGGTCATAGCTGCTGCCGCCGTCGCCGCAGTAGACGCCGCGCGATCCGCCGCGAGTGCCGCCGCTCCATCCGCTATTGAAGGCTCAGCCGCTCGTACTGCTAGTACAGGCGCTGGCATCGGCGGCTCCCCCCCCGCCGACGCCAGTGCGGAAGCGGAAGCAGTGGGAGATTGCGCCGCGTCCGCCGCCGCCGCCGCTGCCGCCGCAGGTGACGCGGAGTCCACGGCGGTTGCGGCGCAAAAGGCGCCGACTCAACGGCGGAAGCCGTTGCGCACAACGAGCTCGATGGGTGGGAAAGGCGCGCGGAAGAGCAGCGGAAGTCTCAGCGGCAGCTTTAACGGTCAGAACGCAATTGACGGCCTGCCGGCGGAACGGACGGCTGGGGAGCGCGTTAAGCAAGCAAGAGTGGGGAGGGCGCGCGGATCGGAGGACGGGCAGGGGAACGCGCTGCTTTCCCGCACGCGCAGCAGCTTCCCCGCTGCGGGGAACCAGGGTCTCGCGGAGGCGCTGGGGAAGGCGGAACGCTGGCGGAACGGGGAGAGCGCGGAGAGGGGGAAGGAGCCCGCGCAGCCGGCGCACAGTAGCAGGCGAAGAGTAACGTTCGGAGAGGTAACCGGAATATGGGAGATGGCGGAAGGGGACGGGAAGGCGGAGGGGGAAACAGGGGCAGCGGGGAGGGAGGGGAAGGGGACGAGTGGGGGGAAAACGGGCGGAAGAGGAGCGGGGCTGCGGAGAGCAGCCGCGGGGAGCGTGAAGCTGACGCGGAAAGAGCGCGAGGAGGTGATGGGGGGACTGGGAGCGGAAGCAGCGGAAGGATTGGGGGGTCTGGGTGCTGGCAGGGGCGGGGGCGAGCAAGGTCTAGTGAGCAAGGGCAGCCGCCGCAGTCGGAACGGCAACAGAGACGGTGGCGGAGACGGCGGCAGCAGCGGGAATGTGGGTGTTGAGTTGGGGGTGGGCGACGAGGTGAAAGGGTGGGGGGGGAAGGAGAAGGAAGGGAGAGAGAAGAGGACGAAGGAGAAGCGAGGTGGGGGAGAGAAGGCGAGCGGAGCCGAGGGTGGGGGAGGGGAGTTGAGAGAGGGAAGAGAGAGAGAGAGGGAGAGTAGAGAGGAGGGACGACACGAGGGGGAGGTGGGGGGAGAGAGGAGTGTGCGGGAGAAGGGCGCACGGCGCGTGGAGCGACCCAAGACACCGCCCATGCCCCTGCGCTTGGATGCGAGACACCATAGCAGGGATGCCACCAACGGCGCTGGGGATTGTGGCGAGAGTGACTATATCCACCACCAGACACAACAGGAGGAGGGGGAGCAGCAGGAGGAGCAGGAGCACAAGGCGCGGTCGCGTCGTCGCAGCCGCATAGCGCGAACGCCCATGGAAACCCCAGTAGTGTCTCGGCAGGTAAGTGGGAGTAACGACCCCATCCGCGCTGCTGCTGCTGCTGCCAGCTCGAGCGGCTTCGCGCAGCATGAGCCGGGACAGGAGGAGAGAGCCGCTTTTGCTGCCCGCGCTGACGCCAATCTCGCTGCTGCTGCCACCATGCTGCCGCTTCAGGTGCAGCAGCAGCAGCAGCAGCAGGAGTTAGCTGAGCGGATGAGGGGAGCGATGGGAGACGGGCGGAGGGGAGAGGGGGATTGGGAGAAGGGAGTGAGGCAGGGGGTTAGTGGGGAGGTGGATGGCGGAGTGAGGGGGAATGGGATGGGGGGTGAATGGAGCGGGGCAACAGGAGGAGAGGGTGGAGGGGGTGGGAGGGAAGGAGGAGCAGCAGAAGGAGGAGGGGATGGGAATGGGGAGGAGGAAGAAGGGGTGAGGGAGGTGGAGTGGGAGAGGGAGAGGGAGAGAGTGAGGGAGGGGTTGGATTACAGAAGTAACTCGTACAACAGTAGGAGTGGTGTGCTGGGCGCGAGCTCAGGTGCAGGAGGAGGAGGAGGAGGAGGAGGAGGAGGTGGAGGAGGAGGAGGAGGAGGAGGAGGAGGAGGAGGTGGAGGAGGAGGAGGAGGAGGAGGAGGAGGAGTGAGAGGAGGGGCGAGGGGAGGGCCGATGGGGGGACCGGAATGGGGATCGTACAAGGAGAGAAGTATGGCGGCTATAGCCGACGCTGCTGTTGCTGCAGTGGAGGGGCGAGGGGGCAGCTTCAAAGAACGAGGCACAAGGGGAGGAAGGGGAGGCAGTGGGGGACGAGGGGGGGGGGAATGGGAGGAGGAGGGGGAGGAGGGGGAGCAGCGGGAGGGGGAGTAGCGGCGGTGCGGGAGGACTGGTTGGGCGTGCGCATGGGCGTGGACATCCCCCCCCACGAGCTGCTCCTCATGCAGCACAACGCCCCTTCGCCTCTCCCCCCCCGTCGCCACCTCTCTCGCCCTCCTCTCGACCCTCGCTCGCCTGCTGGGGCGGGGGTCACTGCTGGTCTTGCTGCTGCTGCTGGTGGACTTGCTGCTGGTGCTGCTGCTGCTGCTGTCTCGGAACTGCAGTTTGGGTTGCCCCTGGGATACAGCAGTAGCAGTGACGCGAGCAGCACCGCTGGTGCTGGTTTCATTGACCTATACGGCGCTGCTGTTGGAGCTGCTGCTGCTGCTGCTGCTGGGGCTTGTTCGCAGGGCATAGAGACACACAATAGGGGCACTACATCGCCCGCAGCAGCAGCAGCAGCAGCAGCAGCAGGGGCAAGGGCAGCAGGAGCAGCAGGAGCAGCAGGAGCACTAGGAGCAGCAGCAGCAGCAGGGGGAAGAGGAGGGGGCGGAGGAGAGTGGTCGTCAAGTGAGTGGGAGGAGCATCGTAGCGCAACGGCAGAGGGAGGCAAGGGCACTAACTCTAACACTAACGCAGGCTCCCGTCCCTATGCTTCCCCCGGCCTCTCTCCTCTCAACACACCAGCATCACCCCCATCACCATCGTCACCACCACCACCATCAACATCAACATCAACATCAGCAGCAGCAGCAGCAGCAGCAGCAGCAGCAGCAGCAGCAGCAGCAGCAGTTGCTGCAGGCCCTGATTCTCCTCCCCCTGCCATGGTGCCAGTTGGTGCCTTCCCTTCCACCCCCAACTTCCTCCCCTCCCATCACCGAGCCTTGGAGCGAAAAGGCACAGATATGGGGTTTCAGAGAAAGGTGGCAGCAGGGGTGCTGGGAGGGTGGAAATGGAAGGGAGGGCGAGGGGGTGAGAGTGGCGGAGGGGCGAGTTTGGGGGATGGTAGAGGGGGGAGGGAGATGCGGGATGGGAGGGGGAGGAGTCGGGATGACAGTGAGGGTGAGTTTGGCAGAAGCCATAGCAGTAGCAGCGATGCTGCTGCTGTCAGTACTAGTGGTGGTTCTGCTGCTGCTGCTGCCGCTGCTGCAGCTGCTGCTGCTGGTGGCCCTTCTGCTCACACACCAAGGAAGGCGAGGGGAATAGGTGGGGCTGTGAGCGCTGGTTTGGCTCGGTCCAAGTCTGCCCTCCCCCCGGGGCTGCTGCACGTGTTTGGCAGTGCGCTGGGACGCGTGGCGGATGCTCCCGTGCACGGGTGGGGAAAGAGGGCAGGGAGGAAGGAGGATGGGGGGGACGGTGGGGGGTTTGGACAAGGAAGGGGGCGAGGAGGAGGAGGAGCAGTGAAGGTAGGGGATGGGAGGGGGGAGGAGCACGGGTCGGATCTTGCTCCTGGCAGCACGAGTGAGAGGGAGGAAGGGGAACAGATGGGTCAGAGAGGAGGAGAGAGGAAGGTGGAGAGAGGAGGAGAGAGAGGGGGAGAGAGGGGAGGCGAGAAAGGGGTGGGAGTGCGGGGTGAGAGGGGGTCGAAGCGAGAGGAGGGCAGGTGGGGGGAGGAGCAGAGGAGGGAGGCTGAGCTGGCGTGCCTGCAGGCAGAGGACAGAGCAACAGGAGGAGGAGGTCCGGGAAAGCAGGGTAGGGCAAGAGGTAGAGGAAACGGGTCAGGCAGGGGGAGAGAGGAGGGCGGGAGGGAGGGAGCGAGAGAGGGAGGGGGTGAGGGGACAGGGAGGGGCTATGAGGGAAGAGTAGGGAAGGGGAGAAGCGGCAAGGAGAGCAGTGGTGGAGGGAGGTGCAGGAGTGATGGAGGTGGGGGCGTGGCGTCCCTTGCTGCGTCGAATGAATGGCTGGAAGATGACCATGGGCAACAGCAGCAGCAGGGTAGGCAGCGGCAGGGTGATAGTGGCAGTCATAGGAGGAGCAAGACACACATGGGGGGAATGCTGCACTCTCCTGCTGCTGCTGCCGGTGGTGCCAGTGGTGCCGGTGGTGCCGGCGCTGGCAGTGGTGGCAGCTTCTCTCCTGCTGCTGCTGCTGCTGCTGCTGCTGCTGTTGATGCTGCCTCTGCTTCTACTGGTGCTGCTGGTGTTGGTCAGCGCGCACGAGGCTACTCGCGCAACCACATGCGCAACGAGAGCCTCATGTGGACGCCAGAGATCGATGCCACGGCCGCTAATGTCGGCGCTGGCAGTGCCATCTCCTTCGCCGCTGCCGCTTCCGCTTTCGCCGCCGCCTCTGCTGCTTCCGCCTCCGGAGGGGCAGCTTCCCCGTTTCACCCTGCTCTAGGATCAATGGGTTACAACCAAGACCCCTCACACCAAGCAGCAGCAGCATCGGCAACCTCGATGGGGAAATACGCCTCCCTTGCATGCGCTCTCTCTTCCGGCAGCAGCAGCGTCGAAAAGATCTCCGCGGCCCGGACAATCCGGGCAGCTGTGAAAGCCCGTGGGGGAGCCGAGAGCAGGGAGGAGTGGCGGAACCTCCTGGAAGCTGGGGTGCTTGAAGCCCTGATAGCAGCCCTACACACAGACGACTGGGAGTGCGAGCAGGGAGAGCCGGCAGAGGTGGTGGTGGAAAACGTGATGACGGCGCTGCTGGCCCTTCTCCTGCATTGGAACGCCGGTCCCGAGGTGGTCTTGGCAGGGGGGGTCCCCTCTCTGGTGTCGGTGCTGCAGCATGCAACGCCTGTGGCTCAAGCTACAGCAGCGGCCGCCCTCTACGTGCTGGCGAAGGACGATGAGAACCGGTCTCTGGTGCGCACAGCTGGAGCAATCCCTGCTCTGGTGGAGGTGATGGCGAGGGGGTCCCCGAGAGGGAGGAAGGACGCGGCCCTTGCTCTCTTCGCGCTCTCTCTCTCGGTGCGCTGTGCCCGGGATATCGTTTCCTCTGGGGCGATCCCGCTCCTGCTGAGCTTTGTCGGGCAGGACGAAAATGACGGCGGGCTGCCCGGGATGGAGGAGAAGGCGGCGGCCGTGCTGCTGAATCTTTCGAGGCTGCCTGAGGCGTGCCTGGAGATAGCAGACCAGGAGGCAGGGGTGACGCATCTAGTGGACCTGCTAGATGCGGGGGGTTGCCAGAGAAGCAAGGAGGATGCGGCAGGGGTGCTGCTAGCCATGTTACAGACCGAGGTGGTGACGGTGGGGGCGCTGAGAGCGGAGGGGGCCATTCCCTCTCTTGTGCGCATTGTAGGGGGTAGTGGGGGAGGGGGAGGGGGTGGGGAGGGGAGTGCGCCAGAGGCGAAGGAGCTCCTGCAGCTGTTGAGGCAGGGGTGAACGCGGGTGGGGGGGGGGGGGGAGGGTTTGGGAGGGGCTGGGGCAGGACGGAAATTAAGTGCACAGGAGGGGCTCAAAAGTGCAGGGAGTCTGGTCACTCAAGCACACCTATTGACTGCTCCTCCTCCACTCGCTCACTGCTTACAGTGTTTCAGAAGCTGCTATGACGAGTAGTCACTTCCACACCACAACACACCATGACTGACGCCTTGGCACCCTTCCGACTGCTGTGTTTTGCCGATGGGGACTGCGGTACACGTGTCTGCTGCTATTGAGTTGAGGGGGCGAACGTGTGGCTGCTCTGCTGCAGCTGTTGGCCCAGATCATATCCTAGGCTGGTTGAAGGAAGCTGGGCTGGCCTGCAAGAGCGAGGCAGGCAGTCGACTCAAGGCGGTATTTGGTGGAGGTTTGTGTGATTTGTGAAGCGGAGGGGAATCTGCAAGGCAGTCCCACAGGCTCAATAACAGGGCAAGCGGGGTTTCTCCTGCACGTGCGAGACTTCCAGCATTCGTTTGTTTCAGTTTGTGTCATGTTGTGTCTGGTCCGGTGCTCCTACTAACCACAATTTGCTCATTCTTTCTTGTACCGTATTTGCACTCACATTCTGTTTGTTCTTGCGTAGGACTAACCGACTGCTTATGTGCTGTCAAGACTGTAGTTAAAGGTCGTTGTCTTAACAAAATAAGGATAATGCAGCTATAAACTCTAGGTCGAACGCCAGCAGCTTGAAAACAAGGCTAGGGATACCACTTTATAGCCTAGTTTTCTGATCAGGTGAGTGTTTATGAACGAGTATAGATGCTAGTGGAGTCCGGAGACTTCGAGGATGCCCGCCAACGAGATGATTCCACACGCTAGGACGACGTCGCCACTGTCGACGACGTCGTCACGTTCTCCAAAAGTCATCCGTATTTTCGGCTGGTTGCCCGAAACTATTTTTCGCGACTCTTATAGTTAGGGAGTTTAATACAGATGTACTTGCGTAGTTATGTTCTTGAAATTTGAACCCTTAATTGGCAATAGTTAGCTAACTGTGTGCATCTTTAGGCTGGCACGGCAAATATCCGCAAGGGAGTGAAGTGCGCTCGCGACCAGCACCACGCATTCACGACAGAACCCCACCTCCTTGCTGACGGAGTCTGGACTGCCATAAACTTTATTTTGAAATCCCTTGACCTTCTACTCAAACGCTTTGCGCACTCACAGCAACAAAGCCCAAGTCGTACCCGTCGGATCCGAGGTTCCCAGTTCACAACCGTCGGATTTCAGCCGTCGAGTCGCGGACCTGAACGTCATGCACGAAATTCCCGCCCCTGGTTCTCCTCCTCCTCGCCCCTGCACTTGCCCGATTTCAACCAAGCCACCAGCCCTCCCTCCCACTGTTGTCAATTCTCCTCCCTAGTCTCCTCCCCCGTGCCTGTCTTCTAGCTTTTCATCACACCATTTCCCTCCCCCACTTGCTTAGCTTCTCCCACACGGCTATAGGCGACTTCCTCGCGTGCAAACCCACCATTCCATTCCACTCGACACCGCCACTCCCAAACCGAGTCCTGAAGCTGCTCTCGTCTGCCGTCATTCTCGCAACCACCAGGCACGGCACTCGTGCGGACGCCATGGCGCTCATTTCTCTCCCAACCACCTTTCAGCACCGAGTTGCACCACAACTGCCTCGCGTGTAGTTTCCGAAGCACGGATTGCTCGAGCCGCGTTGACCCCTACTAGTCATGGACCACGTCCGGCGTGACTGGATTGGATCGGCCATAATCTAGGAAGGCTTTAAGTTTCGGACCTGCGCGCACCTGAGCGAAACCATAGCGACTTCGGTTGAGTTTCTGTCAGCGTGGTCCGTCGCGAGACTACCCGCTGCGCCGGTCCGTACTAGCAACACATAAGTAGCGTGGTTTGTGTAGCCACTAAATCGAACAGTCGTCACTGCGGAGCGTGTGTGCGCACTCAAGATTTTCCTCTCAATCCTTTTCGCTGTTAGGCCGAGAACCATTTCCGCTGAAACCGTTTCGTCCTGGACTCAAAGTCCGCAGTATTATCACTCGCATTCCTGATTTTAGGCACACGCGCGACAAGCACTCTACCTTTATCCGACTCGTAAGTCCGGAATTGAAGGCGCATTGTCCAAAGGAGCACAGCGGTCTGCCTTCTGCCTCACCGCATCCTTCTCCCCTCACACGCGCCTAAGCGAAGTTCGCGCAGGGGCATCCACCGCCGTGCTAAGCTTAGAAGATCGCTACACGCCATATCCACGCCAGCTGGCATTGACCCTCTACTCCTCAGTTGCTTAAGTTGCTACTAATCATACACGCTCGATTAAGTTATTTGCGATATTCTGTTGCCGGGCGCTCTGTCGGTCGACTCTCTCCTTCACCAGCTCCTACCTCCCTTGCTTCGGCGCCTGCCTTCGGCTCCGCCTCTCCGCTCCGCTCAGATCATCGCCCCTCAGCTCCGCTCCGCTCCCCTCCGCTCTCCTCTCCGCCCTTTCCCAAGTTCAATCCATGGCTGTCGAATCCTCGCCACAACGTCCCTCGGCGGTTATGGATCAAGCACCCGCGGAGCCTCTCATCGGCGGAAGATACCAGCGCGTCCGCCAGGTCGGAGTGGGCGCGCAGGCCACCGTGTGGGAGTGCGCGGATTTGCGCGCCTCTCCGGAGGCGCGGACGGTGGGCGCAGGGGCTCACATCCGCACTATTCCGACTCAACGAGCCACGGAAAACTCTGCTCAATGTCTTCGGGTCGCGGAATCGTCGTCGCAAGGAGTCGCCGAGTCGTTTCAAAGAGTCGCCTGCAAGAGCTTCCGCCTTTCCAGGACCGCCGCCGCGACCGCCGCTTTGTCGTTCAACACTTTCAACTCGCCCTCAGTCCCGGCCGTCGACTCCCTCGCCGCATTCAACGGCGGCCATGGCAACTCCGAGCTCTCTCACCTTCGCCAGTCGCCGCTGATGCGGGTGGACGCTTTCGCCGAGGTCTCTTCGTTGGAGATGGTAACCGGGCACCCGAATATCGTTCGCCTGTTGGACGTCGTCGTGGAACCGCCACGTCAACACGTTCCCACCGCTGCGGCTACGAGCAACCGGCACGTCGAATCGGCGACTTGCGGCCCGGCTGCAGCTGACGTCAGTGCCACTACTAGCGCTACTACTGCTAATAGTGCTACTACCACAGCCACTAGTTGTAGTATAAGTAGTAATAGTAGCCGTTGGAGGGTGCACGTGATTATGGAGTACACGGACTCGGAGGACCTACTAACGGAGATTGTGAAGCGCGGCCCACTGACGGAGCGCGACGCGGCGGCGGTGTTCCGCCAGCTGGCATCCGCCGTGGCGTTCTGCCACGCGAGCGGCGTGATCCACCGCGACGTGAAGCCTGATAACGTACTGCTCACGCGACCGCCACCCGCATCGCAACCAGCGCCGCCGTCGCCGTCGCCATCGCCATCGTCGGCATCGGCGTCGCCACTGGCAGCGCGATCGCCAGAAAAATCGCCCTTCTGTTGGGTGGGGAAAGAGTCTGTGAGAGAGGGGGAGCAGATCGGACGGGGAGGAGCAGAAGCAGGAGGAGACGCGGTAGGAGGCGGACGAGTGGGTGGCCAAGCAAGTTCTTGCTTGAAACCCGCACACTGGAGTAGCAGCGGAGCTAGTAGCGGAGCTAGCAGTAACGCGGATTGGATCTCGATCAGCAGTAGCACGACTAGTCGGGACGGAGCTCGAAGGCGCACCTCCCCTTCTTCCTCTTCTTCCCCGTCCTCCCCGTCCTCATCGCTCTCCACGCCAACCGCTACTAGCAGCCCCGCTCCCCCCGCTCCCTACCCGCTCATCCTCCCGCCCCCATGCCACCCCCACTCCTACCACCCCCACTCCCTACGCCCCTCTCCAAACATCTCTCCCCAGGTTTCCCCTCCTTCCTCCTTCTCGTCCTCCTCCTCCTCCCACACGCGCTGCCGCGTCTCGTGCTCCTTGCACCCTCCCTCCTCCGCTTTCTCCTCCCCTCCTTCCCCGTCCGCATACCCGCACTCCTCCCCGTGCCTATCCCCGCCCCGCTCCCCTCTCTGCACCCCCCGCCCGTCCACGCTTCCCGTCCGGAACCCCTCCTCTGCCCACGCCGCTTCCCCCGCCGCTTCCCCCGCCCAATCTGACCGTCCTGCTGCTCGCTCCAATCACTCTGTCAACCCATCTGACCGTTCTGCCGGCCAATTCGACCGTTCGTCCCTCATTGTGAAGCTCGCTGATTTCGCGCTCTCAGCACACGTGGAAGGGGGGCCCCGGGGCAGAAAGGCAGACGCAGGGGCTGGCACGCGGCTATACATGGCTCCTGAGCTCCTGGGAGGAAGCGATGGGAGGAGGGGCGGTGGGGGGGGAGGGGGAGGAGGGGAGGGGGGTTACGGATGTAAGGTGGATGTGTGGAGTATGGGGATTACTCTTGGTGCTATGCTAACTGGGCGTATCCCTGGTACACCGATTAATTTTAATGGGGTGGTGTGGCGAGGGGTGTCGGCGGGAGCGAAGGATCTGATCCGTCGGATGCTCCAGGACGACCCGGATCGACGGCTGAGCTCGTTCGAGGTGCTGGAGCATCGGTGGTTGCAGCAGACGAGCGGCTGTAATCATGCTCCAACCACCACAACTGCTGCTGCTGCTGCTGCTAATGGCACTACGTCTGCTTCATCTGCCAATTCAGTCTTCTCCAGCCTCACTCCCATGCATCCATGCAGCACAGGGCGTCACTGCGCCCCTGCAACGCAGCAGCACTCGGCAGCACCATTGGCGGTGACAACTGGGCACGGACGGCAGTGGCTTGGTGCATGGACCTGAGAGGGGGCTTCACTGGGGGTTTGCGCGGGAGGCTGAGCGGGAGGCTGAGAACCTGGCGGCCCACCCACCCACCCACCCACCTCCCTCAACTCTGGTGTGCGTAGCGTGCATGGCAAGGTTCTTGGAATCCGCAGCAGCAGCAACACTGCTCTAGAGTGTGCTGCTGTGCACGTGCTTTGCAGGAGAATTTGCAGTGTGTAATGAGAACTGGGCCACTGGGCCACTGAGCTACAGAGCCACTGAGCAGCGTGCATGCCGTGCAGCTGCAGAATAGAGTGTGCACTCAGAAAAGGAGATAGAAATGAGATGGTTGCCTGTTTGTATGTGTAAGGAATTTTCCATTCCTTAGCGCGCCACACCGCTACCGCGTACACCAACCCTACATGGCACCGACATCTGCCCTAGCTTCAGCCCGAACAAGGTACCGAACCATTTCCGTGTCACTTCGAAGCGCTCCGCGTCCTCGGATGCCTTCTATGAACCTGTTCGATCACGCGGCCAGGATTGCTCTGGTGTTCCTACATCTTGCTTCCTCATTCCATTGTACCACATTCTGTTATTCTGAACCTCGACATTCGATTCCGTGCTACTCTGATTAAACACACATAACATCTGGTATACGGAGCCACTTTCGTGACCTACCCGCTTCCATAGGCAGAAAACGTTTTTTAGAATGAGAAGGGGTGATACAAGAATGACTAAAATGAGTTATACAAGGTGCTTTTGTGCTAAGGGGTTGTACTCTCTAAGAGTACGCACCTATCTAGCCTAAAAGACATATATATATATATATATCGTAATCCCCCGTATATAACACCCTATGGTGGATATAAAAATTCAGTAAAAAAATAAGTGGGTGTTATCAGTGGCCCGAAAAAATATAACGCCCATGTGTTATGTAAAATGCAAAATTAATTTGAGTGTTCCATGCCCTATTTTCCCATAAGGGTGCGGAGCGGCTGCTAACAAGCAGGGCCCAAAATATCCGGGTGAAATGCCCTGATTACCCTGATTTTTCAGGGTTTGAAAATTTTTAACCCTGATGTAGGAAGTGTTCGTTTTTTTTTACCCTGGCTAAATCCGGGTGTGCGCCCGGCCAACCCTGATACGTCAGGGTGGCCCGGAAATTACCCTTAATGCAAAACAGTCAAGTGCTTTACGCGTGGCGTTTTTTTCCTCGCGCACCATCAGCAAATGCCATCCACATTCCTGCCACCTGCGGCATTTTGCCACCCTGCCCCACCCGCGCTGTCGAATATTCCCCCCCAGCTGTCCCTGCGTCAGCTTCTGTTAGGCCCGCTATTGGTCGCTTTGGCAGCAATATTGCATTGGTCCCAGCTGACGAGAGTTCATTGCATGTGACGCATGAACCGCGCCCTCAGTGCGAGCCGTTCAGTTCCAGCATAGATGGGACTTCGACAGCTCACGCTTGAATGCGGCCCGCGTGACTGCACGAGGAATCTCAGCTGGGTGACGACGGCTGGCCCTCCATCCCTTCCATCGACTTCTTCATCCCCCCCAAACCAGACCCCAGGTTATCACCCTTCCCTAGGAGATCTCCCTCTCACTAGCTTCTCGAGCACAACCAGTACATGACAGTCGACAATGACGACGAGCCCCCCCAGTGCCGTCCTCGTGACGGCCTTAGCATACTGGGGATCTTTCCTCTCAAGCCTGCCACGGTCGTACCACTGTCTACTGGAGGTACATGGCAGGTCTCCCGTAATTCGCAGTCCCCCTCTCCATTGAGGTCTCCTCGTGCATTCTCGTCGCCGCACACAGAAAGGACGCCAGCGAGGGGGTCGCCTCCTGCTGTCTCGTTGCCCCATGCGGATACGCCACCCTTCAGCCACCCTTTTGAGCCTAGCTCCCCCGAGACGTCTTGGTACGCTCCCGCCGCCCAGCCGTGCGCATCCGCCGGTGAAGGTTCCTCGGGCCATGCTACCGAGTCTCCAGCACCTGCCAAGCGTAAACGCGGTGGATACACGCAGCAGCGTCTCCCCTTTGCGTCACCGCCTAAGGAACCTCTGACCCCCGTGGTAACACCGCCTCCTCCTCCTCCGCCTCGCAGTACCCCGGACACCGATGCCGATACGGAGTACGACATCGTCAACTGCCGCTACGTCGATGACTGGTCCCGTCGCTTCCCATGGTTGCGCCTCCATCGTATGAAGAACGGCCGCCCGTCACTGAAGTGTGCGATATGTCTGCAGTACGGTGACGTTTTCAGCAATACGAAATACGGAAGGAAAAGCGAGGGCGGACGTGACCTGCAGGTCGGCAGCATCCGCACACATCTCGGAACCCCAACGCACAAGGACGCTCTTGCGGAGAAAGAAGAGGACCGGGAGCGCGATCGCCAGCGCACCCTCGACCGGTGGCAGGGGACGGACGCTTCAACGAAGCACCTGATTCGGTGCCTCCACATCGCCCTCTTCGTTTGCAAAGCGGATGCGCCGATTGCCATGTTCGTCGCGCTCTGCTTCTTCCTCGCTCGTGAAGGACTGCCAGATCTCCCGCCAGGAGGGGCGTACAGAACCTACTATACCGAGTAAGTTGTTTTAACATGCGCCTTTGAATAGTTTATCTTACTTTCATCGAAATAGTTCTTGTTGTTTATCATGCTTTCCACATGCATCGAAATAGTTCTACCATACATAATGAATACTTACTCGGTTTGGTGTTGCTTCCCTTTCGCCACACTCCCCACAGCTACGGATTCAAGGAGTGCTTGAAGGCTACCTCACAGTACCTTCGTGACCGCCAGGTGGAGCACATCCGGGCCTCCCCGTTTGTCAGTATCTCGATCGATGAAAGCACGGATAGGGTGCACGGCAAGCACCTTATCTTGTATGCTACATTCTTCAAGGGGTCGGTCGTCATGACAGAGTTCGTCACGCTCCTGACCGTTGACCGCACTGACGCGGCTTCCCTCACCGCCGTTCTCGTGCACTACCTCCAGTCTATCGGACTGGATCTGCAGAGGATCATCGGTGTTGCCACTGACGGAGCCTCCGTCATGACTGGCGAGAGGACGGGCGTGGTGGCCTGTCTTCGTGCGCGGATTGAACATCTCTTTTCTGCTCACTGTATTCCTCACAGGTCGGTTTGCTGACATGGTTCAAACACTCAAATCCCCTTGCTGCCCATGCATCCTATGTTCACATTCCATCTCCTTCCTTCCACCCGTCTAATCACAGGGAGTCGTTGGCAGCGAAGGACGCGGTGAACCTAAACCCGGCGCTGCAAATCGTCGAAACCGTCATCCGTGGCTTCGCCGAGTTCGTCGGGCGCTCGAACGTACAGCACTCGCGTTTCATGAACCTGCAGATGGTTTTCTGCTTCACCAACCTTGAAGCCCAGGGGATATACGCCATCCGCTGGCTTGCAAGAGGTGAAGCAGTGCGCCGCTTCGCGGATGTGCTCCCTAAGGCGATTGTCCTGCTTCGAGAAGCCGGGAGCCACCTGTACGACATCGTGACGTCCTTCAAGTTCCAGTACCTCCTCTACTTCCTCGCCGATGTCCTGGCGGAGCTCAACCACCTCAACCTCCGCTTTCAACAGAGGCAGGTAAGTGGTCTTCAGATGAACCCTTTTTCATACTATTGATACTCTATTGTTGCTGTGTTTAAACTCAACGTCAAGCTGTGCACATGTTTAGCCGTAACTCGTTAACTGTATGCTCATGATCCGATTGCCCTCCCTGTTGGCAGGTGGACATCACGGTCGTCGCTGCCGTAGTGGCGAACACGTGCAGCCGCATTCAGAGCTGCTACATCAACTGTGGTGATGGTCTTCGGTTTGGCAACGGCGACAGCGAGCTCCTCGGGGCGTTTCTCGACCGCCATGGCTCTGCAGACAAGAGGCAGCACCGGGTGTCTGGTGTGGACACCGATGGAAACCCCCAGTCCTTCGTCTATACTCTCCATGAGCGACAACTGGATGGTGATGAGACGGGCAGTGACTTGGCGTCGTGCAACGTCATTGCGCGGAAGTACGCCAGTGATCTAGTCATCGGCATCAACAGCCGCTTCAACGACCTCTACAACCTTGACGGCATGAAGCTCTTCAAGGTGAAGGCCTACCTCAACAACGACGACCTGCGCATGGCCCGCTTCACTCAGTGGCTGAGGCAGTTGGCCGGACTCTTCAGGAACAAGCTCCCTGGTAAGTTGTGTGCTCTGTACATGTGTGTTCACCATGTGAGTTTGCCCAATGTGTTTGCACCTAAAGCATCCATGTCTCACAATCCCCTCTGTTGTTTACTCGTTGCCCCCCTGCAGGTTTCGACTACCACAAGGCTGTGAGGGAGCTGTGGATGTTCACCAGCACCATGGCCTCGCAATACAAGGACGACGACTTCTACACCGCACTGACCCTCACCCTCGACAACAACGAATGGCAGCGAGGCTACCCCAACATTCTGAGACTGTGGCAGGCGGTGGCAGTGCTGCCTCTCAGAACTTTCGAGTGCGAGCGTGGGTTCTCTAAACAGAACCTAATCAAGACCTGCGGCCGGGGTAGCCTTGGGGATGACCGCTTGGGTGACTTGATGCGATGCAGCTTGCTGGAGTACCAGGTGGACTGGTACGCTGTCGTGGCTATCTTCCGTGCAGAGAGGCACCGTCGCCCCACCCGAGACCTTCATGGGGTGAATCCGGCCCCTGCTGCACCCGCTGAGCCCCAGGGAGAGACGCAGCCTCTGAAGGAGCCAGTAGTGGCTGTGTACGATGGCTTGTATAGCCGCAGCTAGGGTACAGTACAATTGCATGCTGACATCGAAGTAGCTGTAGGTAGGCTAGCTTAATGAAAGTATGTAGTCATAGGTAGGTAGGCCATTTAGAGATAACTGTGCGTGTTAACTGCAATATTAAAGTGTACGCTGAAGTTTACTGCAATCAGTGTGCATGAAAAAACACCCTGAACAAACAGGATGCGTAAATTTTTAGGCTGCAGAATCAGACTCCAAAAAGAAGTCACCCTTTACGTCAGGGTGTTTTGCTAGGCAAACCCTGATTCCAAAGTGTGCTCTAAAACCAATTTTGGGCCCTGCTAACGAGGCAGCAAATTTTATTTTCCCGTCTCCCGCACAGTATCGTTAGAGCGTGTTCCTACGAGCCTCTTCCCATGCAACCTCTTCCCAGACTCACGCGCGACCTTGAAGCGTGTTCCCAGGACCACTTTTCGGAAAACTCCCGTTTCATATTTGCGTTCCATCTCCCTCAACCACATAAAACCAGCTGGCATCGAAATTTTACTGAACAGATTCGCGCTTTTCTGAAAATCTGCTCGTCTGAAAGAGAATTTAAAATACGCCCCTGAATCTCGGGAAGCCGAATCTCACTTCGCACTTCGCGGAATCGTACTAAAACATTTCGCGTCGAAATTTGCGACACTGTAGCATGCGAGTCTGGGAAGAGGTTTCTTGTGAAGAGGCTGCTAGGAACACGCTGTAACCCCCTGGCCCAACGGTTTCAGATCCCCCTTCCCCAAAAAAATTGATTCCCCCTTCACCCACAATTTCGATTCCCCCTTCCCCTGACAATATCGAATTCCCCTTCC